CCCCCCCGGACGCCCCCCGGCTCCGAGCGGCCCCGCTCTCCCCGCACCCCCGGTCTGGCCCCGGCTCCGCGCTGTCCCCGCACCGGCGGTGGCCGCTCCCCGGCCGCGGCGCAGCCAGGGCTGACCCGGTATGCGGAAAGGAGCCGGGGGTGGGATTTCGAGCACTTTTCTCTGTCATTGGTTAATATTTTATTCTGTTGACATGTTTTCTTACTGCCGATGCTTCCGACACCTTCTTCTTTTTTTTTTTTTTTTTTCCCCCCCCCTTTTTTTTTTTTTCCCTTCTTCCCGTCCTCCCTCCCTCCCCCCCCTCCCCTCCTCCCCGCGCCCGGAGCTTGGCCGGAGCTGTCAAAACCACGCCTATGCAGATCCACAATTGGTCTGAAACGCGTAAAATCAGCAATCAAGGGGGCTTGGCTCATTAGCGGGCGGATCAGAGCAGGAAGGACATGTGAGATAGTCACAGTTTTACAGAGATCACGACAAGATCCGACCGTTCCCCACTCCGGCTCCTCGAGCCATGAGCGGCGCTCGGCCGAACCGCGGAGCGCGCAGCGGTGCGGAGCCCTCCGGGGCGCAGTCGGAGCCCGCGGGGGTGTGAGCCGTACGGCCCGACCGCCGCTCCGCTCCGGCGCCGCTTCAGTGCCGGGAAGGATTTCTCCGGGAGGGTTTCGCCCCCGCTCGCTTCTCCCTTCGCCGCAACAACAACAACAAAAAAAGAAGGACGTACTCTCTGCCCTCCGCAGAACGGGAGTCCCAGGAGCCGGGAACTGCCTTTATTATTATTATTTTTTAATTCTGGTTTTAATTTTTTTTTTTAATTTTTTTTTTCCGCACATCTTATTCCGCTCTTTTTCACTTTTTTTTTTTTTTTTTTTTTTTTTTTTTTTTTTTTTTCCTCCCCTTGTGTGCGTCGTTGGGTTTGTGGGTGTTTTTTTGTTTTTGTTGTTTTTTTTTAATTAATTAATTTTTGTTGTCGATTTCCCTTCCTCTTCCAGTGCGAATTCGCTGGGCAGGAGAGAGGAGAAAAAATAAAATAAAACAAACGAGCCGAACCGCACACCTATTTTTTATTATTATTGCTGTTATTGTTGCTTTTTGGTTTTTTGCTTGTTTGTTTGTTTTCTTTTCTTTTTTTTTAACAAAAGGGAATCCCTCTTTTTCTCCTGGATTTGTGGATGCACCGATGAGAGATCCAGCCTTCCCAGGGACTGCCATGGCTTACCACCCCTTCCACGCTCCCCGGCCGGCCGACTTCCCCATGTCCGCTTTTCTCGCCGCCGCTCAGCCCTCCTTTTTCCCCGCTCTGGCTCTGCCCCCGGCGGCTCTGGCCAAGCCCATGCCGGACCCGGGGCTGGCCGGGGCGGCCGAGGCTGGGCTGCACGTCTCGGCTCTGGGCCACCACCACCAGGCAGCCCATCTGCGCTCCCTCAAGAGCCTGGAGCCCGAGGAGGAGGTGGAGGACGACCCCAAAGTGACGCTGGAAGCCAAAGAGCTTTGGGACCAATTCCACAAGCTGGGCACCGAGATGGTGATCACCAAATCCGGGAGGTAAGAACCGGGATTTTTTTAAACGTATTTCGCTCCCCCCCCAACCCCGCCTTCGTCCCCTCTCCCCATAATTATGCGCGATCCCAAATTAAATCTATGCGTACTCATTGAGTGCCGTCGTATTTATTTACATCCCTCTCTGCAGCCCCTCACTGCCAAATTTTCCCCGGCCCGGTTCCGGGAGGGGGACCCTAAAGAAGCGCAGTGAAAAAATGATTCGCGTTTTCCTCTCTGCCCCTTCATCCCGCAATGGGACACGGAGCTTTTGACCCAAGCGCTGGGCACCCCTCAGGCCGGGGCTGAGCCGGGGGGGGGCTGCGGCCGTCGAGGGTCGCTCCCTGCAGCGCTGCGCGTCTCTCCGCAGGAGGATGTTCCCCCCGTTCAAGGTGCGGGTGAGCGGCCTGGACAAGAAGGCCAAATACATTTTGCTCATGGATATAGTTGCGGCCGACGACTGCCGGTACAAATTCCACAACTCCCGCTGGATGGTGGCCGGAAAGGCCGACCCGGAGATGCCCAAACGCATGTACATCCACCCCGACAGCCCGGCCACCGGGGAGCAGTGGATGGCCAAACCCGTTGCCTTTCACAAACTCAAGCTCACCAACAACATCTCGGACAAACACGGCTTTGTAAGTGTGACCGCGAGGCAGGGCGGCCCGGGTCCTCCCGGGGGCAGCGGCCGGGATTTAGCGGCCCCCTCCCGGGCTCCGTCCCCGCTCCTCTCCGGAGGATAACGGGGCCGAGCCGGGGGAGGCCGGCCGGGGAGGCGGCGGGGGCAGCTCCGGTGGTGCGGCCGGGCTGTGGCAGTGTAACCGGGCAGGTACGGCCCGGGACTCCCTCGGTCCGGGTCGGGGCTGGAGGCGTCACCTGCGCGGGGTTTGCGCGGTGGGAGCTGAGCCAAAGGGGTTGGCTGCGGCCGCTCCATACCGGCTGTGCCTGGAAGGCTCCCGAACTCTTCTATTTCCTTATTGATCACATCTGCATCACCTTCCGGAGGGGAAAAAAAAAAAATAGAAAGAAACAAAGATTAAAATAACCCACCAAAGCAAAATAATAATAATAATAATAATAATTTTTAAAAGAGAGAGAGGGAGAAAAGGAAAGAAATGCAGCAATCGAAGCTAGTAGTCTTCAGAGGAGTGCAGAAAGAGGGACTACAACGCGATCCTGTGGGGAAAAATGCCAGCGGGCGTCGGGGTGAGCTGGGGGGCAATGGGGCCGAGCCCGGAGCTCAAATGGAGTCGGCGGCACCGAACCCTCGGAAGGGACCGTCGGGGTCAGCGGCCTGGGGAAACTTTTCTCTCTTTCTGATTTTTTCGTATGATTTAGAGAGGAAACGGTGTGTTAGATAAATCAAACACAGCACGGCTATTTAGAGGCAGCGAAGGGAATCGATAGAGAGGCTCGGAAATCTCTTTTTTTGTTATTATTATTTATTTGGTTCGTGGGGAAAAATAGGTTCGGTTCAGCGCTCGGTCCGACTCCCGCTGGAAAGCATTTCAGAGCCGTCCGAGCTGCGGGTGCAGGCAGTGCCCATCTGCTCAGAGTGGGAGGAGGTTTGGGTAAAGGACCGCGGCTCTGAGCGCCCGATCGAGGCGTTTGTGCACCATTTTCACGCTAAATCCCGCCTAGATGATATCGGTGTCCTGGAGACCCGACAGCCCATCAGCAGGTGATTATTGCCGGGGTTAAAAAAGGGGGATTATTATTATTATTATTATTTTATTGCCTTCTAAAACGAAATGAAGTGATAATTATTCGGCGGTTTCGGACAACATTCACAGCAGATTTCGCCCTTCCCCAACCGAAGCGGAGCGGGGAGAGCCGCGCTGCGGCCCGAACTCCGCACGTCGGGATTTATCGGTGCGTTTCTCAGAGGGAAACGCCGAGGGGACAGCGCTGGGAACGGCCCCGGGGACCGAGAACGGCGTTGATTTGTGTTAAATACGGGAAGGTTGCGTGGGGGTGGGAGAGGGGTTTGGATACCTGGACGGGAAAAACGTCCCACCGCTCCCGGCGCCGCTCAGCCGCGCGTTGCGTTGCGCGGAGCTCTGCGCTTCGTTTGGTTTTTGTTTTTTTGGTTTTTTTTTTTTTTTTTTTTGGTAGAGGATTTTTGGTAGAAGGGTTTTTTACTATTATTTTTTTTAAAGGGAAGAAAAAAAAAAAAAAGGACGGAAATATTAAAAGCGGCTGAAAATGCGTGGCAAATTCACCTGGCGTTGTCAGGGCGGTGATAAATCGGGGGGATCCTGGGCGCTGCTTTCTTGCTGTGCCTTCCCCCTGACCTCCTTCTCTGGGGGCAGATAGGGCCATGGCACCAACGAAAAAAGAGATCTCCCTCTCTGGCAGCTGCTGCTGTTCTCTCTTCGCTTTGAATCTGGTTGTTTCTTTTTATTTCATTTTATTGTTTTCTGAGGAGAAATGAAGGGTTTTGCAGGGAGGTGATGGCGGTGGGGCTGAACGCAGGCTCTGCTCTCTCTCCCCCCTCCACCACAGACCATTCTGAACTCCATGCACAAATACCAACCTCGCTTCCACATCGTGAGGGCCAACGACATCCTCAAGCTGCCCTACAGCACCTTCCGCACCTACGTGTTCCCCGAGACCGACTTCATCGCCGTCACCGCCTACCAGAACGACAAGGTAGGGCCGGCAGCACCCGACCCCAGCCCCTGTACCGACCCCCAGCCCCATGCACCAACCCGAGCTCCTGCACCCCCATCCCCTGCCCCTTTTTGGGTCTGTTTTCACGATGCTGCCCAACCCCAGTGGCTGCTGACATGGAACGTTTTGGGCAGAGAGGCAAAAAGGCAGCAACAGGAGAATGGTTGGAGCCCAGACCCTCAAAGCAGGCACTCTCCGTGTTACTGTTATTATTATTGCTGTAACCATTCCTAAAATTAATTTCCCCCTCAGTAGCACCTTCCTCTTGCAGGTGCCACGGAAGAGCCAAAAAATCAGAGCTAGAGAAGCCCATTTCAGTCACTTTCTGTGATTTAGCAATTGTCACCCATTGAGCCGTGGGGGGGCGCGGCCCCTCCGAGGGCTCCATGCCCGCATGTGTGCCTTAACCCAAAAGCTGACCCCCACCCCCCCCCCCCCCTTGGCTGCTGATGCTAATTGACAGCTCTGTCTGAGGGTCCTGGTGGGCTTGTTTCCCTCGTAAAGTTTATGACGAAGAGTCACAATCGATTAACGAGCACTCTGTCTGCCCGCCCGCCGCACGCTGCCTGCCGGTGGGCTCCGTCGGGCGGTCGGGGGCCCCGTCGGGCCGGGCCATGCATTTTTAAAGCGTCCCTCTCGGGGCCGTGTTTCAGAGCCATGCATTATTGAGCGTCCTAATGTCGCCGGCCCCAGCAGTCCGTCGCGGGGAGGGATAAGAATAGCTTTTAACCAGCGCGGCGCGGGCTCAGTCGCCATCTTCCCTCCGGGGGGCCGTGAAAAATAACTTCCTATCATTAAGACGCTATTAATAATTCAGGCGAAACCTCAGCATCATTTTTAATAAAGCATGTGCTGTGTTAAAGCGGGGACGCGGCACGTTTTGCAACGTGCGCCGTGCATCCCCGCCCGGCCGCGACCCCCCGACGGCCCCGAAGGGACGGATGGGCCTGAGGGCACTGCGGGGGCGGGCAGGGGGCGCCGGAGGGGGGGGGTGCGAGGAGAGCGGGCAAGGCGTCAGTCGCTTCTCTCCGCGTCCCCGCAGATCACGCAGCTGAAAATCGATAACAACCCCTTCGCCAAAGGCTTTCGGGACACGGGCAACGGCCGTCGGGAGAAGAGGTAAGGGCGGCCCCGCGCCCCGCTCCGCGCCCGCGGAGATCCTCGCGGAGGGCTGAGCCGCGTCTCCCCCTTGCGCAGGAAGCAGCTCTCGCTGCCGTCGCTGCGGATGTACGAGGAGCCCTGCAAACCCGACCGAGACGGCGGCGAATCGGACGCGTCCTCCTGCGAACCATCGGCTGTGCGCGACGCACTGCACTCCCCCGTGGGCCCCCTCCCCAGCCCCCTGCGCCTGAAGGCCAGCGGCAGAGGTAACGCTGCCCCACTCCCCCCTCATTGCTTCGCCCGCACCGTCGGGGCTGAGCCCAAACCGCGGCCCCACTCCCTGCCCTGACGGCTCCTGCATGGGGTGGGGAGGATCGGCTGGGAGCAGGGGCACAGCTCCCGAATTATCACCGTGTTCGGAGCGTTCTTGATGTCTGCTGTTAGTGGGGAGGGGATCAAAACACCTCCGCTGTTGCGGCGGCAGCCGGCAGCGTTTGCAGCGCTGGCAGGGAAAGGCAGTGGATGGGCACAGAGGGGATGAAGGGCTGCGAGGACGGGAACGGCCCCAGCAGATGCAAATGGCATTCATGGTTTGCAACATTTTCCTGTTTATACATCGATGTAAACAGGGAGCATTGGTGGGCAGGCCCTGTGCTGCGCAGCTGTCTGCCGTCGCTCTGCCTTTCATAGCCAGTGCAAGGCTCCCCTCCCCCCCAAAAAATTAATACATTTAAAAGGGCAAATAACACTGCAACACTCAGAGCCGGGCAATGAAAATAAGCCAGCAGTTCCCACGTTGTGGTTTTTTGATGCAGGACTTTGTTGCACAGCGCTGCCCATCCGTTGCTCTTTCAAGTTCCCACCATCCTGATTCCCTGCAAACCTTCGTCAAAACCGCAGCTCCTGCCCTGGGCTGAGCTGCTGGGAGGGTTTATGACACCCTTTCTTCTTTCAAAGGGTTCTCTGTAGGTTCTCCCTGGCCTCAATCCATCGGCACTGGGGTTTCGGTTGTGCTGGAGGGGCACCACGAGTCTCCCACCACCCCATGCCCATCGCCATCCCCTCACCTCAATTCCCCCTTCCTCTGAGAGCTCAAAGCCCTTCATTTACGTTAAGTTAAATTAAAATTCCCTGTTTCAAAGATGGCGGTGAATCTTTCCCCTAAATCTCCCTCCTTTGCCCGACCCAACCTGTGCATTCGGAGTGCATCCACAGAGCACAGCTGATCAGCCCAGCATAATTAAATCTATACAGAGCTACTCCTCAGCCCGCTGCCCCCATGCTCCCCATCTCTCACCCCACCACCCTCTTTGGGTTCACAGCTGATGGCAGCGATGCCGGCGCGCAGCTCAGGCCTCCTGCAAACGTGTTTTTCCTGTTTGGCAGAGCAATGGGGCTGCTGCTGTTAATCCCTGCGAGCCCCCATGATGACAGCGGCATGAGAACCCATTTGGTCCCTTCCAACTCCAATCATTCCACGATTCCATAATTTCTACTTTCTCATTTAGCAAAGTTCTCCTTTTAATTGCGATGGGGCTTTACCTCTGTCGGATTTCCCTAACTTGGGGACAATCAACTGCAGACTCTCTGATCTCTCCATCCCTTCACAGATGAGATACTACGATTCCATGAGTCTGTGATTTCCGCCTTCCCATTTAACCAAGCTCTCCTGCTAATAGTGACAGCGTTTTACCTCTGCCACATTTCCCCGTGGCGAGGTCTGTTGACCCTCTCGTTGGCTCTCTGACCTCTCCATCCCTTTGCAGAGGAGAAGCCGGGGGCTGACAGCGACGCGGAGGTGGAGAAGGTGCCCGAGGAGCGGCCAGCGGGCGGCAGCCCCGGTGGGGAGGACACATCACCCCGCGGCAGCCCACGGTGCACCGACGAGCGGGGCAAGGAGAGGCGCAGCCCAGAGAAAGCCAAGGATGGAGCATCCCAGGGGGACGGCCCCAGTGAGGGTCTGTTTGGAGCACGGGGCATGGAGAAGGACAAAGTGGAAGGGAGAAGGAAAGAGCCGGAGCAGGGCAAGAAGGACGCAGAGGGAGTCGGGCTGGGCAAGGAGGCCTTCGCCCCGCTGATGGTGCACACGGACAGCCCCCCGCACCTGAGCGCAGGGCACCTGCAGAGCCTCGCGCTCTCTGGGCTCCACGGGCAGCAGTTCTTCAGCCCGCTGGGTGCCGGGCAGCCACTCTTCATCCACCCAGGACAGTTTGCCATGGCCCCCGGGGCTTTCTCTGCTATGGGCATGGGACATTTGCTGGCCTCGGTGACCGGCGGCGGCAGCCTGGAGAACGGGGCCCTCTCGTCTGCCCCGGGCGCAGCGGGGACGGCCACCCCCTTCCCATTCCACCTCTCCCAGCACATGCTGGCTTCTCAGGTAAGTATCCACCCACAGCCCTATCTCCATCCCCACAGTGCTGGAGCCCTCCTGCATTTTTCCACAAAATGCCTGAAATCAGCCAAGCACATTGGGGCACAGACCCAGTGTTACTCCTGGTATGGGGGCAGACATGGAGTGGCCCCAGCGTGGCTCTCGTGGGGCCTTCCCCAGCCCATGGGGACAAACAGCGACACTTCTTGTGTTGTGACATGGGGAGGATGTGGGGGGATGCTTGGAATGGAGGTCCCAGAGCTGATTTGAGGAGGAATTCTGATTTATCTGTAGTTCCACCATGGGCAGGGCAGCGTGAAGAGCCCTGCCTGCTGATCCATCCAGCACCTCTCAAGATCCCCACCAGCCCCACAATACCAACACCTCTGTTGTGTCTCTGTGCCGAAATGCACGAAGATACCTTGAACTCACCTCCTTTCTTGATACGACCCGTCAATGGGTTTTAATGCAATCTGGGCTCAGTGATACCATGCAGCCAGGCATACCGAGCTCTCATAGGGACAAGGCCCCATTGCTGCCCTATAATGCTGTGCCTCCAGCAAGTCCCGGAGAGAGCCCCATGCCTGACAGCTTGTGCTCAGTTGGCCGATGGGGGTCCCCAGCCGTACCCACCCAGCAGCAGTGTCACCCCACGCTGTGTTCGCATTACTTCTCCTTTTCCACGGGGCAGGAACCACGCAGCTCTCACCTCTCCCATCTCTCCTCTCTCTGCAGGGAATCCCGATGCCCACTTTCGGCGGCCTCTTCCCCTACCCCTACACCTACATGGCAGCAGCAGCAGCAGCCGCCTCAGCCATGCCGGCCACCAGCGCAGCCGCTGCCGCCGGGCCGCTGTCCCGCAATCCCTTCCTGGGCAGCAGCCGCCCTCGCCTGCGCTTCAGCCCCTACCAGCTCCCTGTCAGCATCCCGCCCAGCACCAACCTGCTCACCACCGGCCTCCCCTCCAGCCTCAACCCCGGCTCTGAGAGCTCCAAGGCGGGCAGCAGCCGTGAGCCCAGCCCCATCCCCGACGCGCACAAAGCCCAGCGCCCCTCCGTCTCCCCCCCCAAAGGTTCCCTGAAGGAATCCCTCAACGAACTGCAGAACATCCAGAGACTGGTGAGCGGGCTGGAGAGCCAGCGGGAGCTGTCGCCCGGCAGGGAGTCCCCCAAGTGACCGACGGGGGGAGCAGGCAGCGCACCCACCTCCTCCCCCCCGGGGCTGAGAAGCACTGGTCTTTTGTACAGCACAGTATAAATATTTATTAAAGGTGGGGGCGGATGGGGAGGGGGCTCTCCGTATAGCCGCCCCCCACCCCGAGTGCCACCCCCCATCCCTGCTCCCTGCCTCGGGGCACGGGGCTGCCCTATTGTCGGACGGGGAGGGCGGTGGGGCTGAGAGCTCCGTGCAAAGGGCGGCGGTGGGAGGGGAGGGGGGGGGAAGGGAGGGGGGAAAAACTAAACACAAAGGAAAAGAAGAAGCGAAGCATGGAAAGGAGCTGCGCTGCCACCGCCACGCAGGGAGCGAGCGGCAGGGCAGGTATTTATGAAATAAATGGTAATTTGTGTAAATAAGCTATAAGGATCCCAGAATATGCAAATTGGTATTAATTTATTCAGAGTTGTACATTGGTGTGTACATAATATTTAGAGTTTAACTCTTCGCATTTAAGTTTTTCGTTGGTTTTTTTTTTTTTTTTTCATTTTACATGAACATATATATTGTAAATGAAAACTATTTAGCTCTTTGTGATTGAAGGAGATACTGGTTTCTTTAACTGTGTTTAAAATATTGTTTATCCCACCTGCTCTTCAGGACAATCAGTGCCACCGGTACCACAATGTTTGGAGTCGTTGGAACAAAGAGTTCAATTCTTTAATGGACTTTTGCAAGGAAATAATAATTATAATAATAAGAAATTGAATCCAAAATGTAGGAAAATGTCTCTCCAGAGCGGGGTATGCAGAATGCAGGAATAAACCTCAGGTTTTTATTTTTCACTCCAGAACAAAGCGAAACAACAACAATAAAAGAAGTATAATAAATCTAAATATCACAGGACTGTGCTCTATATTTGTTTTAAAATAAAAAGATACAATGATTTGAAACGTGCTGGTTGTTCGGGCGTCTCTCTGTTGGGTTCCCATGACTTCTCTCGCGTCTTTCAGTAAAAAAAAAATACCCGGAGCGCTGCCGGCTCCCGCCTGATTCATTCCTGGCGCTGCGGTTGGAGCACGACCAGAGCCGGACCGCCCCGTCGGGGCCGCCCCGTCCGCAGGTGCGCAGCGCTCGGTTCCTGCAGCTCCCCCGAGCTCCAGCGCGGCACCGCGGTCCCTACCCGCCCCGACGGCCGCCGCTGTTACCGACGGAAATCTCCGACGTGCGCACAAAGCGCTGGATGCGGCTCGGTGTTTCGGACCGTGCCCCCGCCGCAGGTGCGCAGCGCGGAGCTGCCGGTCCGCGGAAGGGCTGCGGGAGGGCATCGGCACCGCCGCGCAGTCGGGGATGGTTCCGCGGGTCTCCCCCCCCTCTCCCGGCCCCGGCGGCCCTTTTCCTCACCAATTACCCTTCTGCGGCGCCCGGGAAGATTTACGGCCCGCGGAGGGACACGGACTGCGCAGCGCCGTGCGCGGGGCTCCCTCTGGCGGTATCGCCGCGCTCCTCCCAGCCCGGCCCCGTCGGGGCGCTCCCCCCGGCGCTGCCCGGCTCATAACGGCGCTGCGGGGTGCCGGGGGGGGGGGGGGTCGGGGTGGAAGGAGGGGTTTGGGCCGGGCTCCCCGACGGCGGGAGAGGAGCGCTGCTCCCGGCTGAGCACCGCGGTTGTTTCTGCCAGGAGAGGGGTGGAGTGAGACAGAATGGGAACTGCTTCAACAAGGGGAGGGAAGGGGAGGCCCTAAAAGCGGGCTGGTGGGATTATTTCCGAATAAACCCAGCTCCCGAGGAGCATCTAACGAGCTCTAGCGGGGATGCACGTTGGGGTCGGGGTCTCGCTGTCCTGGGGGCAGTCTGCCTTGGGAGATACAGGGGTTTAAATGGATCAAATAGCATTTCACTGATTGGGGTGGGGACGGAATGCTCCCTGCAGAGGTGGTGACAGTGACCTGTGGGGATGGTCTGCAGCTCTACATGCAGGTGGGAGCAGAGTGTGCAGGAGTTGAGCTGCTCCAGGTGCCCACCATGGCCAAACCCAGGTGTGAGGAATCCACGTGGCTCACACTGCAATAGGGTTGTGCTGTGACGCAGAGGGTTTTCCTTGGTGCCAGCTGAGGTGCACACCAACACGCTGGCCTGGCACATCTTTGCCATGTCCCTTAGGCCCAGTGGCCAAACCCGGGCAGGAATTTGGGAATGGGATACAAACCCAGTATGGTGCTGCTGCCCTGTGTGTGTTATCCCAGCACCATCACACTCCTCAACGCATCAGATCCACATTGTGTGGCTGGAGGGGACACAGTGGCAGCACCCACAGTGCCGCCAAGTTGGGAGAAAAAGGGGGAACATCACTTTCGGTCACTGTCCTGTGGGGTTTATAGGATTTCACCACTTCCACGGGCCACTCCTGCAGCTCCATGCTTGGCACCGAGGGATTGCTCTGTCCCGATGCGGGGGGTGGGGGTGTATTTTTGTGCCATCCCGGCGCCCGCCAGCCGGGCGCGCAGCCCCTCGGCAGCCACAATGCGCAGTGCCCCCCACCACCCCCCCAGCTCCCAATTAGGCTCCGCTCGCTCCGCTGCGCGCACGGCCCCGCAGCCCCAATTACCCGCGGGGTCGCCGCTCTGTCTGCCGGCCCCGGTGGCGGGGAGAGGCACAAAGGGCAGCGCCGGAGCTTCCGTGAGATTCCACTGCGCGCCCTCAGCCCCAATTACCCGCGCAGGGCTCTGCGCACTCGCGCACCTGTGCTCGGGGCAGGGCGCGCCCCGACGGCAGTCCTCGGCCCCGCACCTGCGGCCGTGTGCGATATATGGGGCAGCACCCGGCATCGGCTCGCTCTGTGCTGCCGCTGTTTTTTTTTCTGGAGAAGGTCAGTACTGGCTGCTCGAGCCCCCTTTTTTCTCCTTCACCACTTCTTCCTCCGCTCTGCTCAGCCGCGACGTGGTGGGGGAGCGGGAAGCCTGGATTTGTACAGGGATGTTTGGCTGTGAGATGGGAGTGTGGGGGCTGTCTTTCGGGCTGTCTGTCCCCCTCTGTTCCCAGCGTTGCTTTGGTCAGTGCTGACATCTTCAGGAGTGGGGGGTTGGGGGGGGTGGGGGTTAGAAACGTTATTTATGAAAGAGCGCTGTTTATTTGGACCAAGAGCTTCCTACGAGCCGCAGGCACGAGTTGCACTGGCTTCACTGTAAGGATAGGGTGGGAAAGGGGAAAGGGGAGGCTGTCGGTTTATTCCCGTCGCCTGTATCAATGCGTGATGCTGGGAGAAAGCCGGGCCCGAAGCCCCGCGGCGCCCACCCGGCCCTTTCCCAGGACGGCCCGGAGCCGCGCATCCGACGGGGCGGGACGGGGCTGCCAGCACAAAGGTCGCACCGCTCCTCTCTGCGCGGCCATGGGCACCGCTAAGAGGCAGCGGGGTGGGAGCAGGAGGAAAAACACTTTTTTTTTTTTTTTTTTTTTTTTTTAAGTGGGGGGGAAAAAAGGGGAGGGACGGGGGAGGGGGAAAGGATAGGGATTTAGGGAAGAAAAGGTGGGTAAAAAGACTTTTTCCCACAGGTCCCGGCCGCCCCACGCCGCCGCCAGGTGGTGCCGTCGCTCCGCGCCGCGGGCAGATCAGAGGGGGAGGGCAGCTGGGTGGGACTTCCCCGACGGGGCGGACGGATGGACCGCGAGCGGCCGCGCTGCCCTCTTGCTGTGGGTTTGGCTGTGCCCATCCCGCCTTGGGGAGCAGGGAATGCTCGCTCCGAGGCAGTTAAGCGTGAGTGAGCAGCCAGAGGTGGGGCTGCTCTGCCTTCTGCACGCTGGATTTTATACCACCTGGAGTATTAAGGGATGAAGTCATGCAGAAGGGCTGTTTTTATTCCCCTTCGAATCGGCGTCGCTGTGAGCGGTGACATAAGCACAGGTACAGCTGTCCTTCAACTCCCATTGATTTCGGTAAATGGCCATTGCCTCCAGCCCTGGGCCTGGCATGCTCTGTAATTCTTAGGAAATGAGATCTAATTAAAATGAGACAGCGCTGTCAGGGGAGCACCTAATTGTCTTTGCAAAATGACCTTGTGGGGATGCTGGCTCCGTTCCCAGCAGAAAGGTGTTGTCGGTGCAAAATCCCATACAGCTGGGGGAATCAGTTAAAGACTTTTGGGAAATAAATCCCTGGGCTGAGAAGTAACGAGCTGCAGCACCACTCAGATCTGCAATCCGCCCGCTGCCCCTGGCCCAGGTGATGTCAGTGCTTGGGGACACCCCCCCCAGAATGGCTTTAAAAGAGAAATGGCACCCAGCAGGGATGGGTCAGGGTAAATACATGCAGGTGTCTCTCACTTCCCAGTCCTGTACCTTCCTGGTGCCTCAGAAGGAAATGAGGGTGGTTTGGCCATTAAAGCCTCCAAGTAACAGGGCTTGGCAATGGGACGAGCCTCCACGAGAGGGAGTGTTTGCAGGGATTTCCATCCTAGATGTGCATTCTTTTTCTAAATATCTCTTTTTGTTTCTTTTCCCCGTTGTTGTTTTCAGGCAGACCCACCCCTGCCCGCAGCTCTCTGAACCCATTTCCTTCTGATGGGGAGGGAAAAAACTGAGCAGAAATCTCAGCTTTCCAAAGCAAATAGCTGTGCTGCTGTCCTGTCATGTTGGTGACACACTGGGACACCCCACTCCTTTGTAGGGTGGTTATGTCCCTGTGTCCCACAATGAGGACATGGTCCTCCTTTTGGCCCTGTTGGTCCAACTGGTTAAGAAGTCTCTGGATTAAGGGCTCCTCTATTTTGGGGCTCCTCCAATGCTCCCAGAAAGGTGAAAGGATGGTGGTGATTGCTCCATCTCCAGCCCAAACTCCACGTTCTGTGGCTGCAGGAGCTCAGAGAGCTTTGTAGGAAAGATGTACAAAGGGGACCTCACCCCTTGCCCCATTCCTGGAGCCTCCACTGCCCTATCTGCAAATTGCAGAGCAGATTATCAGGCAGCAGTGGGGAGATTAGAGCCCTGTGGTCGTCTGTATCCCCCAGAGCTAGGACTGAGGCTGGACCAGACTGTTTGGCACCACGGGGCTGGGGCCAGGGTAACCTTTTCCTTTTCTGGGAGCTCCTTAAGGAGCACTCAGATTTGCAATTAAGGAGGAGGAAAAAAGAAAAGAGGAGGGAATGCACCATCACAGCCAGCTGAGTCCATCAGGGCTGAAAGGGAAGCCAGGCAGTGCACCAGCTGTGCCCCGTGGGCAGGAAAGGAGGCACTGGTGGGTCTGAT